TTATTTGTGTTTTGAGAAAAATTTTAAAAAAAAAAAAAAAAAAAAATTGGAAATGAGTTTAGAAATTTTTTTTGTTTATTTGGTTGGATATTTTGAAAAAAGTTTTAGAGTTTGTGAGTTTTGTGAGGAAAAAATTGATTGATTGTTATATAATAGAGAGTAATTTTAGAATTTTTTTGAGAAAATTTATAACTAAACATGTTTTTAAAAATTTTATTCTAAAAACATGTTTTAAAATATGTTTTAAAATACAAACCAAACACACCCTTAATGTTTATGTTTGGCTCTTCCATTAATAATAATACAGTATTTATTTATTAAAAGTTTAGAGTTGTAGGTTATGGGCCAGAGAAGCCTCTCCAAGATGAAGGATCATCAATCCAAATATACACAATTTTTATGAGATATGGTCGAAGGATACTATGGGGGTGTTTGGGAAGAAGTTTGGTCCACAAGGCCAATAAGATAAAATGTCACATATAATTCATAATTATTTCACTTTTTCTTTTACAACCGCCAAATTAAATACAAAAAAAACTTAACCAACTTCCTAAACAAAACTATTTTACCCAGGTTAAAATAGCCAAAAAAATCAAATAAATAACTAAAATAAACAACTTCCCAAACAAAGCCTATAATATTTAAGTCAACAATGAAATTTAGAAAGGGCAAATATGTATTTGTTGTGCAGTAAGATGTTAGGATTGTTTGTTACAGTTTTCTTTTTTTTTTATTGGTGATTATAATTTATTTTAATTTAGGAATTTATGTCAAACTGTTTGGTATAATTTTTGCTTATAGCGTTTTAGACAGAAATAGCTTAATTAAGTTTTTTTTTAAAAAAATTGATTATTTGAAAGTTAGGTTAGGGGTGCTTTTAGCATCTGGTTCTTATTATCAATTTTTAACTTAAAAAAAGGTCCACCAAATAGGTCGTTGCTTGTCTCACGCTTAGGCTGCGTTTTGGAAAAGAAAAGGAAAAGAAAAAAAAAGTAGGTGAAATATAAATATAATATATCTACATTTCATATAGTTTCACATACTTTTTCCCTTTCTCTTTTTAAATTTCTTCTCAAATCTCCCAATCAAACATGACTTTAGAATGATGCCTATTTATGATTTTTTACATGGCTTATTTTTGTAACGAGTTAATCTCGAACAAACTTCTATCAAGTTGAACACAAGTTGACTTACGCTATGTTTGGTTGGAGATTTGAGGAGGGATTTGAAAAGGGAAATAGAAAATGTATGTGAAATGTGAATAAAATATACTTATGTTTTACTTAATTTCACACATATTTTCTCTTTTCGTTTCCAAATTCCTTTCCAAATCTCTTAATCAAACACAGCATTAATTTATTTTGTAGCCCTAGTCGGCAAAAGTTCGATTTTATTCATAAATTATAAAATGTTTGAACAAAACAACACTTCTCAATGATGTAAAGTTGTGGAGTTCAGAGATTTTTGCAGCTTTTGTTACTTCTTGTTACCTCTTCTAATACAAATCTTTGTACTGTGATGTTTATATATCAGAGCTTTGCGGTAGATAAGCAGAGTGGGAAAAAATGTTTCATGCTACCAGCCAGGCAACTTGGTATCGCATGGGGAGGTACTCCACGATACTGGACATGGATCTCTTTACCTGAATCAAGGTCTTCCCTTCCTACACTTCCTTTCAATTTTTGTATGTTCGTAAATTTTTAGGATCGAGATTCTTTGTTATTCTTTTTTCTGCAATGATTTTGTTGTAGTTTCTATGGTCTAAGTTTAAAGTTGACGTAAAACGACATTATTTTGGGGTTTGAAGTGAAAATAACATTGTTTTGATTTAATTTTAAACTTTAGTAAGATCATAGCAAGGAAAGAATGACAAAGGATCCAAGTCCAAATTTGGGTGGCTTGGTTTTGACTTTCGCACTCAACCGATTTGTGAGTTATTATATATTCGGGGTTTAAAGGGTGGATAATTACACTTTTGGTTCTTAAAGTATGCATTTTGTTTCACTTTCATTTCTATAATACTGTAGTGTTAAATGATTCCTTTGATTGATGTCAATATTCAGCATTTTCTTAACAAAAAAATAATACCTCATCAAAAAGAAAATTAGCCCTTTACAAATTGACGCAATTGAAATATTATGACAAAAATGACAAAATGTATACTTTTGTGAGCAGAAGTGTAATTAATCTATTTTTTGATGAGGTATAATATTTTGTTATGAAAAGATCCCTAATTGTAATGATGAATACTGATGGCGTTTGTTAAGAGGACTACTTTAGCACACATAAAACTTTTGAGGATGATATCAGCTCAATTGAAATGTTAGAGATTAAAATGACACAAATTGCATATTGTTACATCTTAAGAAGTACGAACACTTCTAAAAATGTGGCGTATTTGTGTCGTGTCCATGTCGGACATCGATACTAATCAGGCACTCTCCCGACACGTGTCCGACACTCATCTAAACGTGTCTTAGTTTTTTTATAAAGAATTTAGGACTCGGACACACTTCGAACACTCTTTGGACACTTTGATGATACGCGTGTCCATTAACTAAACACACAAAACTAATTATAAGTTTGAACAAAATAATTTAGAATAAGATGATAAAACAAAAATAAAGTCAATTTATAGAAGTTAGTTTTGTATTGTATTTATTTATTATCTTAGAATGACATGTTTATATATATGACATATATAAATATATAAAATTATATATTCTGTGCGTATCTCTCACGTGTCGTGTTCTGTATTTTTTGAAAATTATCGTGTCTGCATGTCCGTGTCGTATTCGTGTCATGTCACGTGGCTATGTCCGTACTTTAGTTACATCTTATTGCATTGGTGAGTGATGTGAATAAAGTTTTGCAGATTCTTGGAGGTGGCCCATCTTGTGAAAGTGTGTTGGTTTGATATTGGAGGCAGATTAAACACTCAAATACTGTCCCCAGAGACCAACTATGCAGCATACTTTGTATTCAAAACTACAGAGCAAAATGAAGGCTTTGAATATACCCCAATGAAGGCCTCAGTTACACTTGTTGGGGACATAGAAGATAAAACAATTTATTTGAAATTGCAAACAAATAGAGAAGAAGACGATGCACCGCTTGGTCCGCTTCCACGAAGGAGAAAGGATGGGTGGATGGAGATTGAACTGGGAGAATTTTTCAATGAAAGAGACAATGATCGTGAAGTGGAGATAAAATTGATGGAGACCGAACACCTTAATTGGAAATCTGGCCTCATTGTCGAGGGCATTGAGCTTCGACCTAAAGTGGATGCATAGGTGAAAAAAAGACAGGCATGTCTCTATATCTGTTATGGTTAACATGTTAATGTGGTCTTGGTGTAAAATGAATAGAAAGATTACTCCCCATAGCTATTGTTCATCTTTTTTATTGTACCTTTATTTATTTGGATTTGGTTACAATTTTACAGTTTGGCCAAGCAATTTTACTGTGTTGTCATTGGGAAGCAAATCTGTATGTACCACCCCCATTGAGTGGCTGCAATAGATAAAATTGAGGGTTGAGCTGATGATATGTTGCTCTTTGACATACTTGGAAGCTTTTTAATATTTGAACTTGAGGTCTATCTACACTAGAGGTGGCAAGTGATGGAGTTGGTGAAAACAAGTTATGCATTAAAATAACAGAGCTGATCCAGACTCTCCCTTGGGGGTGACTCTCACCATTCCCACACACACGTGGAGAGCAAGTACAGGAGGACACAAAAATAAATAAATAAATAAATTGGACCAATTAGTTTTTACTGGGGGTGGTGGGGGTCTCACTCTTTTCTCTTAAAATAATCAGTTTCGAGTGGTAGCTCGAAAATAATAAGGCTCAAATGGTCCAAATCTAAAATGATGTCGTTTTGGATTTTTTTTTTTTTCCTTTTCTGTCTCTTTACAGTGTTCTCTTCATCTACACATCTACAGAGAAGAAGAAAGAAGAAGAAGAGAAGAGAGGAAAGAGAGAGGCGAGAGAGAGAGAGAGAATCAAACCCAAAAATCAACAAACAACAACACTCTGATCAACACCAGATCTATCATCAACATCAACACCGGATCATCATCATCATCATCAACATCAACACTAGATCTGTGTGTATACAGATGATCTTCTTCTCCTTCTTCTCACCTTCTCTTTCTCATCCTTTTCATCTTTTCTGACCTCTTCTCTCTCTCTCGTCTCTACTCTCTTTATTCTTTCTTCTTTCTTTTCTCTTCTCTCTCTCTCTCTCGCCTCTTCTCTCTTTCTTCTTTCTTCTTTCTTTTCTCTTCTCTCTTCTCTGTCTCTCTCTCGCCTCTTCTCTCTTTCTTCTGTCTGTCTGGTGTTGAACAAGAGAGAGAAGGGAAAGAAAAGAAAATGGGGAAAAAAAATACTCAAAAAGACGTCGTTTTGGGTATTCGAGCCACTCTCAGGCTAATTTTTTCAAGCTAGCAAGTATTATTCTAAAACAATTCAATTCAAAAATTCAATCAACTTGTTTTTTTTATAAGGAGGTGGTGGAGGAGGTACAGTTAGGGCAATGGTGGTGGTTAGGACTGCACATGGGTCGGATCGGATCGGGTTGACCTATCAACCGGTAACCGACCGAACAAATTCGGATTGAGTATTTTAATATTCGATTTCGACCAAATGATGGTTCGAAACCGTCCATTCATAGGAATCGGATTGACGGTCGAATTCAATCGGTTTCACGGGTTGGGCTGTGATAATTGGGCCAAACCATAACTGGGCCTTCACCATTAGCAATTTTATTATGAAAATAGACATTTTTTATGATTTTTAATTTATTACCAAGTTAAAATATTAGTAATTTTAAAAATAGACAATTTTACAATTGAAAATATAATTAGCAAAAATATTAAATTTATAATTTTACAAGTCTAAAAAACTATCATAATAAAAAAAATTATTTGTTAACCAAACAAACAAAAACAATAAATTCCACACAATAAAAAAATTAAAAAAAACACACATGAGCATTCAGATTTTTTACATTTAGCTTCTTTTAAACAAAAACAATGACTTAAAACAAGGGTTTTTGTTAATAAAAAAAAAAATCCATGTAGGGTTTATGTTAGTCTGCAAAAAATTAATATATATATATATATTAAATCTAGTGCTTTTTTTAAAACAAAATTTAAAAATACAAAATCCATGTAGGATTTCAATTATTTAATAAAAAATTAATCATAAACACAATATCAATCAAGAGTTGTAATTAATCAAAAACATTATAAACAAATAAATTCATACCTACGGTTTTGGTTAGTAAGAGAGCACCACCACCAGCATCGGAGCTTCTGATTTGAAGGATAGATGAACACCTCACAAAGTATCACACAGAGAGAGAGAGATTGAAAAGAGATGGAATTTGAAAATGGGTAAATCATAGATATAAAAAGACATCTAATATAGAGGGAATGTGGGTTTACGTTACACACAGAGAGAGGTTAGAGAGAGAGAGAGAGAGAGAGAGAGAAATATGGGGAAGAGAGAAATATAGGGAAAAGGAGAGGAAATGAAGGTCTGCTGGACAACTTTTTTTTGCTTTGATAGTTGAATACATGTCATCATATTAGAAAGCTTCTTGGGGAAGCTTTGCACTTCTCCCAAAAATAAAACAATTATACAAATATATATTAAAAATATAGGAGCTGCCTGCTTATGTTGAAGAATTCGGTCGGGTCGGTTTCAACCGCAATAATTTATATAAAACCGTTGCCGACCGTGAAACTACAAAATTCAACCAAACTAAACTGCAGCCGACTGGTTGAATATTCGAAACCATCCATTTTAATTCGGTTTGGGTCGGTCCGGGCGGGTGGGTCGGTTTCCGATTTTTCATGAACACCCCTACTACAAATACCTACCAGTTTTGCCCCAAGGAATGGCAGGGTATTAACAGTCCCAGAAAAGAAGAACATGAAAAACAACAATGAAAAAGAGATAAAAGTGAGAAGAACTTACGGGTTTGTGTGCCAAATCAAAACCTAATTGACACGAATAGGTTCATGTAGACGGAAAATGCTGAAAACGGCACGAACGAGAGCAACGATAGCAACGACGATGGTGGCAGAAGCTTAAGGGTTTAAGGTTTGGGGTTTTGCACGAAGGAGAAGATGAACAGTGATGGGGGAGATCTGACCTTTGGCATGTATATAGGTGATGATGAAAGGTACCAACTTTTCAAATTTTAGAGATAATAGGGACAGTTGTAGGGTTGCACGAAACCAATTAGGGAAGGCCATGTGGCATGGAAGTAATGGACTGTCAGTACGACCGATGGGTTGTCAGTGTGGCTGATTGATTGATGACAAGACAACTGACACAAATCTCAACGACCGACCAAAATGGGTAGCTCGGTTGAAAATGGTAATCTCAATCATGCTCATCTCGGATGGGATTAAGGGACAATTGAGGGGGAGATTTGTGTTAAATAGTGGGCCGAGCTACCCCAACCCCAACACGAGATATAGGACATGGTGTTAATATTTATTTCTAATTTTATGTGTGTTTATTAGTTATTTAAAATTTCAGAAAATACCAGAAAATTTCAGAAAATTTCAGAATGAGGTACATTCTGTTATAGAATAATTTGAATATTAAATACAGTATATTATTTTTTTTTTGAATTTGTAATATGTTGTGATTAGAGAAGCATGCTTAGTATTTATTTATTTGAATTCCATTATTAAATGAATATAGCATGAGTTATTTGTAAATTTACATTAAGATGCTATTGTATGAAATTTATCGTGCTTTGGCATGCCATAGTCAGTGGGAGGTTGTTCGGTTGAGAGAAATCTTTATAGATTTACTCCCGAAAACCAATATTTTGCGCATAAATTAAATTAAATTTTGGATAATTGTCACATATGGCGCAAGAGATGATTACAAGCATAGCGGATTTTCGATCTTGCGACTTGTGTAATATTGTCACTATTTAATTTAGATTTTTGTGGTAAAATTATATTATGCTAATCAAATTAATCCCAATGCGAATTTCTCTCTAAATTGACTTAGCTTATGGAAGTTAATTGGTTGACCTAGACTTAGTAGAGATGTTCAAATGTGAATAATGTAATCCTATTCTTTAGATGAGCAAAAGTCTTGGAGACTTTTGGTCAGACCTTAATTGAGCCAAAGTAAGGAAACATGATTCAAAGTCGCCGTGGTTTTGTTGCCTTGTTTGGCACAATAAAAACTAATGTGTGCACTATGGTTAGCGGCATGCTACGTAGTTTTGGTTGGCGAGTTTTGGAGTTATGAAATTATTAATCCCTCAATAGATATTATATGATCTTGACTATTGAGCTGCGTAGATTGACTTTATAATTTGACTTGTAATGATGTTGCATCATTGGATGAAGTAACATTCAAGAGTCACGTCATCTAAGAAATGCGAGCTTAAATAAATTAGTCATTAAGTGTAAGATGAGTAACTAGTATGAGCAGTGTTTTGCTCTTTACCTAATTATTGGAAATGGATGAAGCAAAATTTCACGCACTATAATAGTGTGCATTAAAGTATCACTTGAAGTTAAAAGATTAGCGCTTAGTAGCAGCAAAATCTATTAACACTAAGTGAAAATATTAGCGCCAAGTGGCTGCAGAATCTATTAGAATGGCCAACTTGTCTAAGTCTGGACACTTACTGTTTCCACACTTGAGTGTGAGACATGAGGAGGTGCTTCTTTGTATAATTCCTTAGCTAGGCTAACATTTTGAATAATGTTTACCACTAAGCTCAAACGTTACAGCATAATAACGAAAAGGTCAAGGCCGACAAGGTTGTTATGACTCTAAGAATTTGATGCATGGCTCGTGAGCGCATTGTGTTGAATTAGACTCTTTAGCCTAATTCGCGCTTAAGTTACTTCAGGAGCTGTCATAGTTGATAGCTTATTCTCTCCTTCTTGTGGATAGTAGAATTAATTGCAAGTAACTATGAAGCGAGAAATAGATATGGCAGGAGGAGTATCATCATCTTTCAACTAGATGCATTAAAGTGTATGGAGAATAAAATTGACTTGAAGGTGCAGGGGATTGGCACTTACTAGTTAAATTTGCGACTTAGGCGCACTTGATATCTCTATGACATCCTTTTATGATCTAGTGAATATGAATTAGTCGTGAGTCATTACCTAATTGGGCCTAAACCTTTAAAACTTGTCTTCAAGAACTCACACATTAAGATGATTGGAATTAGTTTATGACATTGGTCATGAACCAGTGGCTTATTATACTTAATCACATTAATGAGATGATGACACGATGGTTTGAGTAGGCCTTCTCGGGCCCACTCGCTTATGACATCCTACTCTCATGTGAATGTGTAACTTTGTTCGCAATGGTTGCGCACAAGTAAGTAGGAAAGCCGTAGAAGGTCATTTGTATTGGCTCATTTAGTCCACTATGATTTTTGTGACTAGATATGTGTAAGGGTATGATAGCTAAGCCTCAATCTCGATACATTTATAGATTACAATACGCATCTGAGTCAAGACTATTTAATCTCCCGTAAGTCAAAAGTTTTGAGATGATT